GGGGACCCGCGGTCATCCTAGGCTGATGTCAGAGTCCGCGATCCTTTGCGCGATTTTCGCGATTTGCGCGACGGGTCACGGAAATCACAAGTGCCCCATCCATACTGCAAGGTGTTCTCCAATCCCGCCGTCACTTCTGCTTGATGGTTATGGTTTAATGGAGACTGCTCATGATTCCACTTGTTTCATATCCAGTGTTTCAATTGTTCAAATGGGGCACTTGCAATTTTTGTGATTGGTTTGGTTTGATTCCTGAAAAAAAGGAACGATTCAAGAGCATTTCAATGAACTAATAGACATTGAACATGAAACAAGTAGAACCACAAACATTCGTCTTCCAATCTTTACTGCCAAGCAGAATTCGCAGCAGGATTAAACAACACCTCGCAGTATTCATCGGGCACTTCCAACTCCTGTGATCCATCGCAGGTTTCGCGAAAATCGCGAAAATCGCGAAGAGCGGATCGCGGACTCTGACACCAGCCTAAATATTAACCTAGTAAGCCTCGTATTTTGTCTTAGTAACTCTTTTGCTACTCTATCGTTGCAACTCTTAAATGTAAAATGTTGGCTAGCGTCGCTTGCATTTTGTGATTACTGAGTTATCCTCGTACTTGAGTTGACGGCAAGTTTGGTGAAACCACGGTAAGTAAGCAGAATGAGTGCCGTATTTGCTAGATAAATATCTTCACGAAGAGTCAGTAATGCAAGAACTGCGAATTTTGTTACTCAATGAACTCGTTTTGGCGTTCGCAGCCCGTTTAGCAAAAAACGAGGCATTCCATGTCATGTCGTTTCTAACGACGTTAAAAACCATTCTGAAAAAAAAAAGCCCCATTTTTCACGTGTACCAATTGATGATTAATGATAACGTTTTAACTACAGCTTCCCATAATTGAAAAAAAAAAAGACGAGGTTTCCGATTTCTATAGTCCTAATAATGTGGCAACACTTATGGTTAGGGTGTGGGAAGGGATTGCAATTGTATTCAAGCAGAAAAGTGGCTCCCGAAATCATTGTCAATAACAAAGTTCGTGTTTCAGTATGTCAGAGATTCTGAATAGTGCATACAACTCTCAAAGAAGATAGAAGAGAAACCTCATTTTATTCCCTTGAGACATAATTTTTTGTCAGTGTTGCAAATTCTACTGCTCAAAAAACTGGCCACCATTTCCTGTTGGTGATCGTTTAGCTGTAAATCACTTGAGATAATTTAGCTGGCTCCAATATTTGCGGGATTGGATGGCTGGGAGATAGCCACATCTTGGCAGTTGTTTGTTCTTCCATGGATGTCGTGTTTTTGTCAGTCGAACTGCAAGCAGTGCTTACGACTTTGGTGAGTTCTCCAGCTCTGCTCCATAATCTATTCTTTACTATTCAGAGATACACATATTTTTAGAGTTTGCCTTTTACGGCATCGTGTAAACGAGCTTTCCTGTCATCGGATGTTGTCGATGACGTGTGCTGTCTTGCTATTGCTCGTGAAGATGGACAAGTATTAACATTTCGAATTCCTAATTGGTCCACTTTAACAGGAACATCGAAGGATAATCTACAGGCCTACTGTAAAGAAGTAGGTTTTTTCACCTCTCGTCCAGCAGATGTTTTCTTATGGGAGAATGAGTGTCTTATTTTGAGTGCTTGAACAGAGCAAAAAAAGGTGGATTGGCTAAGGTAAGGAAGAACCATAGGTTTGTTGTTCCATTCAGTCCAGCACTCACTTCGATCGATTCCATTGTTCAGAGCCGACAATTTTTGGAAATAAAGCAGCAACTTTCTAAATATTCCATTGATTTCTTGGGTGAAACATTTACTCGGTTTGCGATAACTACGAATTGAACACTTTTTCCCCTATCATTGCGATATGGAACTTGAACATTTTCTTTATTTTCTTCGTTGTGGAATGCCTGACTGAACCCTTTCTTGGCCAGATGCTCGCAAGACCTTCAGTACCTTTGTAACGTTTCCGATAATTTCCTAGTTTTAGCAAAAATTGCTCTCCAAGAAGTTTATTGCACTGTGTTGTAGAAGATATTGAATGAGAACACTGTTCCAGTCGCTACAAAATGTTCAAATTACACAATCGGTGAGCAAGTGCCCTCTAAATGCTATCGTCTGCACTGGCAACTTGTTGGTCCAGGTAAGCCAATGAATCACGATTTGAGCTACATCTTAGTAGTGAAAATATTGCTTGGATGCCGTGCTAATGAGCCATTATAGAATCCATTTTCCCGATTTTCCAGGTTCCTGTACAGCAGCTGCCTTTGCAAATTTGTCAGCTGGGCAATGGCACCTCTGAGACTCTCGGCGATACTTTTGCAGGTACTCTGTACAGTTACTGGATTATTTTCGAAAATAAGCTTCACGAAAATACAAGGTAATCAATTCTAGCTTTCTCGTTTGTTCGGGTTCGTCCTTGCTGCAATAACCGCTTTCTTATGGGCTTAACCCTTGACGGTATTTTCGTGGTGACAGACCTTTGGACTTTTTCCACTATTCTGGAGAAGAACCTTCGTAGGAATGAGGTACGTTCATGGTATATGGCAAGACATTTTTCTAATTGGTAGCTGCAAGACTGACGAAAATTTTTTACATGGAAGAGAGCGAACTGTTCATCATCTTGCGTGTGGTTAATGAAAAGTGTAATGAGTGACAATCAATGAAGCCTTCTAATCTTTTAAATGTGAGTGCGAAGTGTAAATGTAATGGCCACCAAGTTATTTGAAGCGCTGTGAAAGGCTGTCTATATGTCCCTGAATGGAATTTCCAAGTTAAATAGTTACGCAGATCTTCAACCAATCTATGTTTTCCAAGCGTACAAGCAGTAGTGTGAATTTCATTCGTTTATCAGGGAGAAGTTTTCGCCGATTTCATGTTCGTCACCAGACCAAAAATCGGTCCCAATGTGGGAACTATTGCTCTTATTGTGAAAACGGAGAACCGCATGGAGGTCAGTTGAACTTCATTACACGTAATTATTCCGTATAAGTTATAAGTTGCTTCTGAAATTGGCAAACGGCGTCATATTCTGTAGATGCAAGTACGTTCGATGTCATCCTTGGAAATTGCGTATTGCGTTGCTGTGAATGAGAAAACCACATTGCTACCGGTATCGGAAACAGCAGATCGGGTGATTCTGCTTGTGGAGTCGTTCTCAAACAGTGTTGTGTTAGTTTCTTCTGTTCTTGATGCTAATTTCGTTCTCTTTCACGATTTCCCGTAAACGACAAAGTTTCTATTTTCTGTTTTCCAGTGGTGGAGTACATGTTCGTTCTTTTTTCAGAAAAGATAGTGACACGGTGAAAGTGAGGGAAATAGTGGAAGCTCAACCAGACATGAAGCTCCAGAGACTTATTAGCAGAAATCAGCTCGATCAAGCTGAACAATTTGCTACACAATTTCATCTGGACATTCAAGTGGGGCTTCTTAGTAATATGTTCTATGTTTCAAGTTTTATGTTTCTAGTTTTCTTTCACTGCTCCGAGTGTGTCCTTTTCAGAGGGTCCATGTTGCGAGAATGAACTATCTTTTCTCGCATGCCACAATGACGGGCTCTGATGACGAGTTTTTGAGATTGATGAAATCTTTTGAGAATGTGAAGGATCATAACTTGGTGAGTTCCTCAAATGAATTTCCATGTGGTCGGTCCGTTGACTGTGACATGGCTTCCGATTTTACCTGATCATCATTGGAAACTTGCTGTTTTTTCCAGGTTGGAGAAATCTGCTTTTCCGGTGCTGTAACATTCGAGAACTACGAGAGAATAACCAACCTTTTGACGTATGCGAAAAAAAGAGCTATAACCGGTTAGGATTTCCCAATGATTGACTTGGAGCCTTATTCGTCGGTCAATCTTCACGATTCCCTCGGTTTGAGCTATTGCTCCCGAAAGTAAGAGCAAACGTTAGGAAAACAGGAACTAAATCGATGAGAGAGGCGCCGTCGCACGAGAATGGCTCTAATGGCTTCCCATATGTTTTTTTTTTTGTGAAATAGGCTTCTTTCTTGCTAGTTTCGTTTACTTTTCTCATTGATGGCTGACCCACATGCTTTGCTTTGTTCGGTTTCGCACCGAGGAAATCATGGAGCTTGCCTTCAAGAAAAGTGTTCGAATGACATGCCTAGCAAATTTTTGTTCGCTGCGAGTTCAACTAATCACATTTTGGAATTTTTCAGATTCCGACACAATCGACCGATTGGCCCAAGCTTCCTACGTGTTGGCTACGTATCGCCTAATGAACGGACCTGAGAATGCGAAATTCAGCTCTGATTCACTCTGGCAGAACTTCGTTGCTGGAATATTAGGGGAAGGGGAGTGGCACGAACTGTTCATTCATACTTTAGAGAATGCATCGATCAAGGTATGCATTCTTTATCACGCTGTTTCTGTTTCTATCAGTATGGAAGCGGTCTACACTTGGCGAATAGGCTTACTCCATCTGAGAAGCAACGAGTTAAACAATTAGCCTTCCTGGAATAAGAATGTTCGTTGATGATGAAACGGCAGTAATGCTCTTCTTTCTTTTCTCTCCCGTGAAAAGTTCGGATAGCACCCACGTTAGCACTGATGAGTTTCACTTTTGCAATCGAGAGCAAGTTTGCCAAGTATAAACCCAATAAAGGGGAAGTCGCTATGTTAGACGTCACTTGTGACTGGTCATAACATCTTTGAGGTTTTTAACACTCACTTTTTTGTGTTGCAGGAAGCGCGGATCATGTGGAACCGTCATATAGCTTCCATCGCACCATATTTTAGTAATGTCGACAATGAGAATATTACGGAAGCTAATTTGGGAAGGTTCTTCAGTTGTTTGCGTGTTGCTCTCCTGAGTGAGTGTCTTGCAAGTTTACTATACTCAGCAGCCATGTCTGGAGATTGCCTGAAATACAATTATGTTTTTTATTCGGGTTTGAAAATTTATTTGGCCTATTTCTGCAATTTTTGACCGTTTGCTAAAACCACTGGTCAAGATTAAGTACCAAAAGGTAGTCCTTTTTAGAGTGAGAAAGAGTTGTTATCAAGCTCTATCAATCGACACTAGTGACGTCTGTACCCTCTCGCGTTTTCCCTCTCCTAGCAGCGCTATGTCTCTCCGTCATGCTACCAACCTCATAGGAAAATTTTAGTGTTTTCTGTGGTGCTTTTTGCTTCTTCTCCCCACTCATGCTCTTCATCACACTTGCCTGATTTTCTAACAAAACATCGCACCAATTCGATCCACTCCCGGGCCTTTGAGTGGTATGTGGCACCATATACTACGAGTCTCACCAGATGTTCTCATCAGATTGGCACAAAAAAGTTCTGAGACACAAAGCTAATGGATATCATCTGTATACCAAAATTGGTGCGTTCATACGTTTTCACCTTGTTCTGGAGCACTTCATTATCATTATTACCATCCAGAGGAAGGAAGAGGGGTATAAATGGATCGCGAGGTAGTTCTTTGGTGAAATAAAGCCGCACTTGTCGGAAGAACATATTCACGCCTTTATCTTCAACGGGTGGCGTCACGGATGGCAAGCGCAACATGCAAGGAATAAAAGCTCGAGCGAACGCGATTTCCTCCTCGTTATAGGGAATGGAGACCTCGCTCGACCGGGCGTTATTGAAAAAGGATGAGATTTGATTTGAATTTGTGCTGCTGAGGCTGAAGCAGTTGTTTGCATCCGTGACGGCACCTGTTGTAGGTAAAGGAGTAAATATGTTCTTCCGGCAAGGGCGGCTTTATTCACCGAAGAACCAACTCGTGATCCATTTATACCCTCTTCCTTCTTCTGGGTAGTAATAATGATAACGAAGTGCTCCAGAACAAAGGTGAAAACTTATGAAAGCTCACCAATTTTGGTATGCAGATGATATCTTTTTTTTAGCTTGTTTCTCAGAATTGTTCATACCATCTGATGTAGTAGAAACATTTTTTGTGGTAATGACGAACAAGTCATCGACGTGATGAGGGGAAATGACGAGGGAAGAGGGCGAAGAGGTCCCGTAGTTTACCCGGCCATGTTTTGAGTTGTCTGGTGTTAGTAGTGGCTTTTGTTTATGGTTCGAAACATGCCATATCTAAATTGCCATTCATATACATACATATCACATTGGGAATTTGTCGGGATTCCTCTTTCGTTTGATTTCGTGCAGAAAATCGAGTTACCATTCAGCGAGAATATCAACTGTTGGCGGCGATCATGGGAATAGCGTTTTGTGGAGTACGATTTCATTCCGCACTTGCCCATGGAGTACGATTTCATTCATCCCGACCTGCCTATCCAAAATGCCTAAACAGGTATCTTTCTACATGAAGTTCAATAAAAATTATTTTTCATGAACTCAGACATCAAGGAAGATTTGACGTAGAACAGTATTGATCCTACGTGGAGGGCGAAGGAACCTGAGAATGCGGTTACAAGGCTCAACCAGGGGGTGAGAGTGTAGAAGGAAAAGCAGACGTTCTTTGTGGTAGTGGGACTAAGCCTTTTGAAGGAGGTAAAGAAAGCGGAGATTCTGTAATAGTGCGCTTGTGTGAGAGCTCCCAGACAGCACAACAAAACGCTGAATTGCCTAGCCTCACGGTTGACAGATGTCCGGAGACCCTGAGAATGCAAGAACTTTAAACTTTTGGCCTCTGTAGTAGTTCACAGTTGTAATAATGTGTACATAAGTATATCAACGTGAAAGGAATCATATTCAGGTTTGCACTTTGCTTGTTGAGTTTTTGCTCGAACTTGCAAGAAACCTCGAGTTGCTTGATGCTGAGCGCTTTCCATTGAACGCTCTGCATGCGACATCAACATTTGAGCGTATACTGCAAAAGCAGGTTGCTGAGACGATCACGGGAACCCGTCAGGTACAATGTGTAATTAGATGCAAGCATTAGTGGAGAGCAAGATATGGTTTACAGGCTGAATTGGCTTACGTAGGATGTACGCTTCGTTCTGATGCTCACGGAATGCAGTCAAGACTAGTGGAACTCGATAAATACAGTGTCAATCTCAAAATGATCGAAAGATTGAAGACTGTATATAATTGCCCTTTGAGCTACAGTACTTATGTGGTGAGTTAGCTCAATAGAGCCGCTTTTGGGTTCAACACACTTGAGCAACGGCCAGAGGTCCTTCTGTTCTGTCAGGCCAATCGATTCCGATTCGACTGATGACCAGTTTGAATAAACGGTAATGGTTGGAAAAAAAAACGCCTCGAAATTATATTGAGCGGCTCAGATCACGGTGATCGACGTGGTGACGAAATTTCGGCCAGTACTCTCCCTCCCCTTCTCCCACCCTTCGATGGTGGATGGTTGCCAATGTCAGTAGCGTCGCTGTATTATTCAGTCCTCTACTACTAACCATAAGTAGGTGACATACTCCCACTACGCCACCCTATCCCTCTCCCCCCTCCACCTCCACCTCCACCTCCCAATAAAGAGAACTTTAAAATTGGCAACCACAATGTATGACGCAGATTGAACACATTTTGGTTGCCGTTTTGGGGGGTGGGGGGGGATAGTAGGGGTGGGCTCAAGGTAGT